ACTCTTTGGTTTAACTTCGATCATGAGTGCTAATGGGTTAGCAGAATAGCTTCCTTCCATCTCAGCAGTGTCATTCACAAACTGCTGCAGATGCTCATGAAGTGTACAGAGGTTCAGTTCATCTAAGTCCAAGTGCTGTCTCATATTCTTCACAGTTCTCTTCCACTCTTGGTGCAAGCTCGACAAGAAACGTATGTTCATTTCCATATTTGATTTAACAACCTTGATCTTTCTCAGTTCATTGATCAGTTGTACGAATCTATTGTACGTTTCATGGAGCGCTTCACCAGGTAGAGCTTTAAATGCATCATAGGCAGTCAGGATGTTTGTCTTCTTCGTTTTCAAACCTAGATCAGTTCCAATCATTAGTTTCCTTACTTCGTCCCACATCTCCTTAGCTGTTTGCATGCTATCAATCAGAATGTAAATGTCGTTAGGAATAGCTTGGAGCAGGTACGTTTTAGCCATTAGGTCTGCCTTGATTCTTAGCCTGTCTGCTTCAGTATACTCAGACTTTGCTTTCAATCTTCTTTCTTCATTGACGGGAGGATTATTTACATCATCAGAATTGACGTCCATCCATATCTGTGTTGGTCCTTCAGTGAGTGATTCCAGCATTGCAGATGGGTTGTCTTTTCCTTTAAGAAAGTTCAGAAACCTCGTCCTCCGCATTTGATATTCTCCTCTCCTCAAGATTGGAGGTCTGTTCTCATTTCCTAGTGCTAGTGCTTCCATCTTTACTGTTAGACTTTTAAAAGACCGTTCGAGTGTTTAGATCAGATAAAATTAAATTTTCAAAAACAGAATGTCGAAAACCTAAATTTCAAGAATAAGTTCGAGAAAGGGGTTCGAGAACTTTTATCGAGAAGCAGTTTTCGATATCTGATATCGAAAACCTTGCTATCGAGAAGCTAGGTTCGAGAAGTATCTATCGAGAAGTCAGTATCGAAAACCTCAGTTCGAGAACCTTGTTTCGAAAACCTGACTATCGAGAAGATCTATCGAGAACCTGCAATATCGAAAACAAGATATCGAGATTTTTAATATCGAAAACTGAGTATCGAGAACAGGAGCTCGAGAACCAAGTTCGAGAAATTATGTCGAGAAGTTAGTATCGAAGTCCTGCAAATTGAAAATTCAGTTTTAAGCAGATAAAACAGCTATTTTGTAAAGTCCTTAATCCCGAGATCTTTCCAGAGTGATTTTCAGCTTGAACAACCTGCTTGAACGTCGAGAACTCTGCTTTTCGACATCATACTATTGAGAAATCAAAACTATCAAGTTTACTGAGATCGAAAAATAAGATATACCCTTGGTTCGTTTCTGAGAGGCGAATCCAATGGTATAACTTTTACAGTTTATCGATCAGAAACAAGATTACAGAGATTAAAACAGACTAATATCGAAAAGTATGGAAAACAGAGAACGTCGAAAACTTCTTCGCGCCTGATCAAACTCGAGCAGGCTCTGATACCAGTTGTTGGTCCTTGTTTATACAGATTAACACACAGCTAGATGGATATCATCGATAAACAGAGAAGAGAGATTTCACAGAATGATATAGGAATTATCGAGAACAGAGAAATCCCCTTTCTATTATATCGAGAAGTATTTTGACAGCGTAAGGCTAGAGAATGTATTGATCGACTTTTTGTACCAGTGCAGGACGCGCATATTTATAGGCGCTGCACAGGTTTCCGAATTAGGTTACCTAGGAGTTTAGGCCTAAAGCCTTTTTGGGCCTTATTCCTTTACTTCTATTTATTACATAATAGAACTAATACCGTAAATGGTATATCTATTCTAATTTATTTAAACAAGACATTACAGACAAACTTGACTCACAATAAAAGTTCTAACAATTCTCTTTCCTACTTTTTCATTCTATTTCCTACTTTTTCCTTTACACACAACTCATTACACCTTTTATCCTACCCCTATTAATTTCTTCTTAAATCTTGTGCCAAAGGCTATACCCCCATCTATTAGAGAACGAAGGGAGTATATTACAAAAAGAGTATATGAATATAAAAAATATTACAAAAACAAAAAAAGCGTTTTTATTTGAATATTACTAAAATGAATGAAAAATACAAAAATGTGACCTGTTTTAAACTTTTCCAAAAAAGTGACTAAAAGTCATTTACTCCTTGTATTTAATCATACATTTATTATTTTAATATTCCTTTTATACTTCGTATATGATTAATAGTCCATATTTTGACGCCACCAGCATCTCAGTGGGCGCCAACCCCAGCACCGCCGTCACCGGCACCTCCGCCGCCGCCGACAGTCACTATCTCTGTGACTCCGGTCAGTGACTCCGCCGCCGCCGACAGTCACTATCTCTGTGACTCCGGTCACAGTGACTCCGCCGCCGCCGGTCACTGTCTCAGTGACACCGGTCACTGACTCCGGTCACAGTGACTTCACTGCCGTCAGTCACTGTCTCAGTGACACCGGTCACATGACTCCAGTCAAAGTCAGTCAAAGTGAAACGCCACCGGTCCGGTAACTGCCGCCCTATCCCTTCGCGCGACCACCTTCCTGCATTGTTCACCGGCTGGCCACCCCTTCATCATCAGTCTCGTCCCCCACCCGCCAGCCCACCACCATCGCACCACCCGCCATTGACCAACTCCGCCCCCTCCAGCCACCCAATCGCTGCAGCACATCAACTTTGACCACCTTAACCAGCCAATCCACCCCTCACAGCCCCACCTTTGACAGCCCAACTCAGATCCGACCACCCACCAAAGAACCCTAGCCGCCGCCCTCCCAGATCTGGCCGTTTTATGGTAACCATTTCAGATTTGATAGCCGAGGTTAAAGGAGGCGCGGAGAGACGGCGAGGCGAGGCTAGGTGGTGTCCTGTGCGGCGAGGTAGGCCGGGGAAGCTCTTTGGCGGCGACTATCGAGTTGCAGACAAGAAGAAGGGAGAAGAAGAAGAAGAAGAAGAAGAAGAGTGGCGGCGACAACGACAAGGAGAGGTGCAGTGGTGGCGTTGTTGACGACATCGATGAAGTCAGAAAAAAGCAGATGAGTGCGGCGAGAAGAAGTGTCGCGGTGTCTTACGGCGTCGGCGGCTCTATCTCACGGCATCATAAGGTGGCTCTAACGGAGATATGAGGGTGAAGGCACCTCTGGTCTGGAAAGGAGATATGATGGTGAAGGCCAGGCTAGAGCATGTGCGGAGCAATTAGTGGGCCTTTCATTTTTAATCACTTTTTTTTTTGTCTTTTTAGCAAACAATCATATTTGTGTCCATTCAAACTCTAGGAATCATACTTAGGAGTTAGGCCATTATTTCAACAAAAATAGTGCATGAATATGAAATATGATATGCTTATTTAATTTAGATTAATAAACTTTTTATTATATATTGATAAAGAATAAAAATAGATTCAATTATAATTTAAGATGAAGATAAAGAAAAGTAAGATTGCAATTATATTTTAATTTGATGGAAAGAAAAAGAATTGGACAAAAGAAAATGAAATAAAGGCAAGGGAAAAGGAAATAATGAAACTCCGGGCAAAGGAAGAGGAAAAAATAAAGTAACTATAGATATTATATTTTGTGTATTTTATTAATTTTTCTTATAAGTTGTGCATGAACTTGAGAAATAATATAATCACCGGTCAGTATTATAGGGAGTAATTTTTTGTATTCATATTCTAAAAAGAAAAAATTCCAAATATATGACCAAAATGATAGTAGTGGACAAAAATATGACTGTGGTAACTTTAGTGACTACAGTTGTATTCAAATGTTACATGATAATGACTATAAAACATACACATAGTAACTTATAATCACGTTTTTGTCCATAAATTTTTTATTAATAATATTTCTGGAAAAACATCTTCTAAAAATATGTTTGAGACATAGAAATCAAGATGTTTTGAAACTTGGAGTAAAGAAGGATGAGTTGCTTTTTTCTCATTTTTATTTTGCAAAAGGAAAAGAATAGCAGTTATGATGAGATTTGATGCACAAATAAGAAGAGTTTAGGAAAGCCAAGTTGAAGATATTTGAGCCTAAACAACATATTCTAGCCTGTGGACTGCTGTGGGAAGTTGTTAGACCAATCTTTCCATTTATGATCTGATTTAGGGCTGGGCAAATCGGTTTACGGTTCGGTTTTTATCGGGTTCGGTTCGGTTTCAAGTTGTTCGGTTTGGTGAAAAATGTATTTCGGTTTGGTTTCGGTTCGAGAAATTTTCGGTTCGGTTCGGTTTGATGTTCGGTTTATAAAGTTAAAAAAATAATGTACAATTTCATATTTTTAAGTCAACATTTACTAATTTGAAATGGTTTATTTTAGGTTAAATCCAAACCACATAAACTAAAGCAAAGCAATAAAATCAAAATAGAGTTTTTTCGGTGTTATGTGTAAAATAGTTATGGTGTACAAGCAATGTGCCAACACAAATAAAATATAAGTAGTGATTTACATATGGTACAATGATCAAAATAGCAATGATTTAAATGGTTAATAAAAGTGGGTGAGGGCTTAGGAGTTTGGACAATTATATTTCACTCCAAATCACCAACTCACTAAACCTACAACCTTCTTAATGTATACATATAATGGATAAACACATTGTCGTATTTCATTGGTACAACCAAACTTACAATCTCCATACTGCACACACATGTGTGTGTATGTGTGTGTTGTTCGGTGTTTAATTCAGTTTACGAATTTTCCGTTTTAAACCAAACCAAACCAAAGTATCAAATCATTCGGTTTGAGCAAATGTTTAACAAACAGTTTACTTAAGTAAACCCCAACCAAACCAAATCAAACCACCAATTTTAATAATATATGAAAGTTTTTTTTTGCGTTTCTTTAGTTTGGTTCGGTTTCTTTAGTTCAATTCGGTTTTGAGTTTCATCGATTTCAGTTCGGTTCGGTTCAGTTTAATACGATTTGAAAGAAATAGTACCAAACTCAAAAGTGCATACCGTTCAGTTTCTATTCGATTTAGTTCGATATGGTTAAACCAAACCCACTCCTAATCTCCCTAATCTGATTTGTATCGTATCGCCTGATATGATAACGAAACGCATACGTGATAGTCATGGTTATGTTCACGATGCATCAGCAGCAGCATCACCACTCCGCTCCGCCTGACCAGCATCCGATCAATCTACCTCCTCCCCCATCCAAATCCTCTCTTAGACCCACCGCCGCCGCCGCCACTCAGAGTCCTTCGTCTTTGCCGTTTTCTGTGGGACGGGATAGTACAATTGGGTCGCCAATGGCCCGATCCCACTCTCCCGGGGACCTTGCAGCTCTTCCGCCTTTGACGAGAGTTAAGCTATCCGACATTCTTCCCTATGACGGAGCTCCTGTGGGGCGATATTCGCGTGCCATGGAGGCCCTGTCCGGGTCGCTGATGAGGCACAACGCCGCTGTGATTGAGCTCAGTGCCGAAGATGCCGCTGTGCTCCGCTGTGGCCTGGAATCTGCAAGATTTTATTTTAAAACTCGGGTTGCAGCTCAGGGGAAAGCTACTCGTGGAGTTTATATCTACAGGGCAGGAAGGTAAACAAGAAAATGATCTCTTTATGGATTTTGTGCATACCATTCATGCATTAATACTGTATTATTATTAATTTTAGTATTAATAGTATTATTATTGTGTTCTTTTGGGATTGTACCTGGATTCTTTTCCATTCCATGGAACACACAGTTGGTTTTCTTGGGAATGTGTAGTACTTGTGCAATGGATTTGTGGTCTGTTTGAATGGAAGGTTTGGACTTTAGGGGGGGGGGGGAGGCTTTCAAGTACATACTCTATATTTGTATACATTTAGAGAAAAATCCCTGAATAAGAGTAAAACTTAGCAGATTTTCTCAAATAGGAGTGTCCTATTTTGGAAAGTTTTTATAGTTTCATTCATTTATAGGACTAAATAAGTTATATTTTGGGAATAAAACATGCCTAGTCTTATTTTTGAGGTTTGTTCATCTTTTACACCTATTTTGAGCAATTTCTTATGTATTTATAGAATTTATAAGAACTGCAAGATATACATAATCATATGTGGTCGTCTAACATTTTAATCACCATTATTTTGTTTTTGAGACATTTTATTATTATGAGCAATTTCTTATATATCTATAGAATTTATAAGAACCTAAAGATGTACATAATTATATGTGGTAGTCTAACATTTTAATCACCATTATTTTGTTTTGTGAAACATTCTATTATTATGATATCAACAAACCACTTCAAAGTCTTCCCCCATGAATCTTTCTATTATCAAGATACTATCGTATATACTAATCCCTCCAAATATTAGCCTTGCATTATATTAACTTTTGAGTTATAAAATAACAGAAACATTTAGTTCATTTGTTGCTGACATGAAATGCCCTATCCTGTACATGTCCGTGTTTATTAATGTAAGCCCTATTGGTGCCTTGTTTAATGGTGCCAATTATCATAAGCCAATCATCTTCTTCTCTTCATTTGCAAGCTTGACAATTAGTTTGACATCATAGGCCCTTGGAAGACGTGGATTCATCTCCCCCATGCATGGCTGATGTCTTTCAATGCATGGGAAGGGCAGCCCGAGCTGCTTTATGTGCAGTTGCTAGACATCTTCGTCTGCGAAGCGAGTAAGGATGCTAATTTAAGATTTGTAGGGCCATTCATATTTATTGGATGGACTTCTTTATGACTTTTCTTTTGTATGGTTTTTATCATTACATAAGTTGTCAATGCAGTGTTTTTAACCACTTACTGGATGATAACCCGTTGCCACTTAATGAGCCTTCCTCGTCCGTTCTTGTTGCAACCTTCTCCCCAACATCAACCTCACAGAATGGGAGAGGATCAAGTGAGGGAGTGAAACTCCAAACAACCAATGAAGTAGAAAAGGGGTTGTTAACATTGATTTCCTCTGATACTGCTGGTCTCCAGGTATTGTGTTGTCGTGGTGGTCTTACTAGTTTTATTACAATTAACTGATATGAAGGAATAATATTATATGGAAAAATATATGTGTCTCCAAAGGAGAAATACAATGAGTATAAATAGGCAACATGGATGAGTAGAGCCCAAGTAGTAATCCAAGCCCTATAACCCTCATAATACAAGCACTGTTCTAAAAATCGGCCTAGTCGGACCGATTATTCGGCCTAGTCGGCCGTAACTATAGAGCACTAATCGGCCTAGCCGGCCAAAAAATCGGTCTAGGCGCCCAAAAAAACCGGCCTAGTCAGCCGCTTAGGCGCTAGGTGCCCCTCAACCGTCCGACTAGCGCCTAGCGAGTTTTAGAACAATGAAATACAAGCCATACTAATAATCCTATCATTAACATCCGACAAATAATAATAGACCCCAACATCTCTCCCTGCTTTAGTACATGGGTAAGATTGCGTACATCTGACCTCCCCTTACCCCACCAAAGGTGTGGGAGCCTTTGCGGCACTGGGGTAATGATGATGATGATGATGATGATGATGATTAACATCCGAAAAATTTTCCATTACTTCCCATGGAGCCAAAGACTAACTGTTTTTGGGCTTGGGAATATGATGGAATAAAGAAAAATGACTTACTAAACTGTCTGCGCTTCTTTGTTATGAAGCAGCAGTCAGTCTATGCAATTTTTGATGCGATTTTCATCATGAGTCAACCTGAAACAGTCTCCAAAGTACATGGGTAAGATTGCGTACATCCGAGCCCCCTTACCCCACCATAGGTGGGAGCCTTTGCGGCACTGCGGTAATGTTGTTGTTGCTTTAACACCCCAAAAGTTGGGATTAAGGTCCTGATAATGATGAATGTTGTAAACTTGAATTGTTCATTTGTCTTTATGCAGCATATTTTGTTTGGGTTTCTCGGCTCCTTAATCTTGAATTGTTTACCTGAATTGTTTCTTATTATTACCATAGGTATGTGATCCCAACAGTAGGTGGTACATAGCAGACAACGGTCTAGCTTCGGGAGATCTGTTATTGCTTACTGGAAAGGCTCTCAGCCATGCAACTGGTGGTCTCCGCCCTGCAACCATACATAGGGCAACCTATGATTACTATTTGGGTAATACTACCTGCGGAAGGTAGGTGATGGGACATAACTTTGCAAGTCTAATTCACATAGACGGATCTAGGAAATATGTTGAGTGCAGTCTAAAATTCTCAGTGAATATTTGGTCCATTCTAATATAAAAAATTCATAGCAGTCTAAAATTATATCTCATCTTCTCTAATAATCCACCGACTACATTGGTTCAGATATTCATCTAAAAAATACGTTTCATAGCTGCCATATCCTGTTAAAATACTTACATATGCACTGCCCCTATTCCATTTTACTGGTCTCAATTCCTTGTAGGGTTGTTCCATACTACTTGTCTCACTTCCTTTTTTGGAAATTTTACTACCTAATAAACCCCACCTACACAATAAATAAAGTTCCATCCAACCAAAAATAAATATTCACCTCCTAAAAGATAACTTCGCTCACCTCGTTAAAAACTTTCTTAAACTCCGTGCAAAAATCAATTGTGGCAAGTAATTATGAAGGGATTAGAAATATCTTTCATAAAACCAGTGCAGGGGCGAATGGCCGTACTGGACTAGAGTAGATCCATACCAGCTTACTGCTGCAGAGAATTTTCAGCATCAGATGATTTGTATTAGCTAACTTTTTGTAGGACATCATTGGCATTTAGGCTTATGCCACAAAGCAATGCTGTTCTTGATTGTTCTCCCATTAAAGCGGCTGGTCATGTCATTCCTCAAAGCTATATACCAATTTCTGTAAGCCAGTTTCTGGATGACATTTCTGCAGAGGAAGACATCTTCTGTAACAGAACTGATAATGCTTATGTAAGTACTACTCCCTCTGTCCTAATTAAGCGCATTGTTTGAGTTGTTTTTGTTAGTAAACTCAATCACGATCCAATCTTTTACAAATTATGAATGGACAATTATAACCCCTAAAACTTATTTCTACTAAAAATGATAATTGACCATAAATACTGGACAAGAGGATGTTTTTTAAAGGGACTTTTTGGGTGTTAATTAGACCTACAACCCTTGAGGTTTGGTTAAATTACTGAATCATCCTTCAGGTTTCTGAAATTTAGAAATACATCCTCTTTCAAGACAAATTTGCATTAAAGACTAATTTCCTTATCGCAGCAGCAAAATATTCACTTTGTGACCGCTAGGTCATAAGCTACTTATAGCCCTGAAAAAACCCTCTCCTAACAATCTGAGATAAGGTTGCACAAATTGATAAAATTTAGGAAACACAGAAAAGTTAAGAAGCAACTTAAAAACACCACTTTTAGTTTTTTTAAAACCAAAAAGCACAAAAGTGCTTCTGAAAAGCTGTTGCTGTAAATGTCTTATTGAGGCAGCTGCGCTGAGAAGCCGAAACATCTCGTAGACCTTAGGTTTTAAGTTGAAATATTGAATTTGTTTAATACAACTCAAGTAGCCCAGAGAAAAACAAAGCCTTGTTGGGCCAAGATGTATAAAAATTGCTTATTTCTAAAAAATTATTTGACCAATATAAAAGGTTTATGCCTTACTGCCTTGTGAGACTACAACTCAAGGTCATGTGTCATACACACGAGCCATGCATTTCTAGCCAATACATTGAGATTTAAGCCTTGACCGCCTTTTAAACCATGTTGTGCTTCTACTGTTGCGCCTTGACCACCTTTTTAAACCATGCCAAGTACTAACTTTTGAGTTTGGGCCTGGTCAAATTGATCCCACAGATCATGACAATATGATGCATGCTATTAGGCTGAGCTCTACAATTGCACTCCCAGATATTCTGGCACACGCCTTCTGCTATTACTTGATTTATTGGGGCTTTGTGCATAAGCAGAGTAGCAGACATTTTGATTATTAAGATATGTCAGTATGTCACTCAAGTTTTGAAACAGCAGGTCAGTCAAGGCAATCTAAATAAGGAACAGTCTTTAAGAAGTGTTCTCTCAGATCCCTTAACGTAAGTTTCTTTCCATTTCTTCTGGAGTTTTTTTTTGTGAAACATGTTTCATTAACTCATTATGTCATTTATGTTTTTTTTTTTTAGTTTTTTTGTTTCATCCGGAGGAGGGTATCTTCTCCCTAGATATTACTTCATCAATATCTTTTTATCTTCATTCTTTCCTTTTTGATTTGTCCCAAAATGGTTCCTCTTTCTATTTTATGGAAATGATTCTATGGTTAAAGTTGCTTGTCTTCCTTCTAAATAAATTTCAATCGCACAGTTTCCAGTTTACACTTTTTTGCAAGCCTGCAATTTTTTTGGTTAAGAAACTAAAAGTATGTCATATTTGTTAGGCTATCTGTTTTAAGAAGTACCAAAAGAATAAATTTACTATTATATGTAACCTAAATAACACCTAAATTATCTGGAAAGCAATTCCTCCATTTCGGATTGAACTCTTGTTTAGCTTTAGGATGTTTTTACTTGGACTCATTTCAGTGTCAGACCAGACTTAAACAGACCAAACTTAAACAAACCAGATGTTGAGAACAGAAAAATAAAAATCAACGGGGTAAACCGTTGCGCAGAAAATCAACGATATAAACCGTTGCCCAGAGCCAAAAGGCTGAAATCCAACTTTATTCCAAGATAAGCAAGAATGAACCCTGACAAGGGGTATAAATAGCCTTCTAGTAAGAGACTCAACAGAAACCCTAATTGAGCCCAAGTTAATTAAACCCTAATTAGGCCCAAATTAACTCTACTAACTACTCTACTAATAATAGGCCCAAACTAAAAAAACATAACATAAACTTTATAGTAATAAATAAAACTATAATCCTAGCCCACAACCAACCCACGGAGGTGGGCCCAAGCCCGTTCCCGCCCCTTGATCTCTCTGCTCTCTATCACCAGACCAGACTTAACCTGTTGTATAATACACAAAGACCAAACCAGTTCAAACCAGACTAGACCAGACCAGAAAATATCAGTCCAAGTAAGAAATTCGTAATAGACCATCCAAGTTAAAACCACTGTTAAATTTATTACTTGCTCTTTTGGAAATCGTAGTGCGTCACTCAATGGGGCTTAGGTCTTGTTATCTCAGATTCGTGTTTTTTGAAAATAATTGGGGGAATTTGACTTTGCACCCCATGTTTTGGGCGATATTAGACTTTGCACCCCATATTCAAAATCATTAATATTTGCACCCCATTAGCCCAAAAATTGTGAAGGAGTGGGGTGCAAAGTCAAATGATTCTATAGTGAAATAGGGTGCAAATATTAATGATTTTGAATATGGGGTGCAAAGTCCAATATCACCCAAAGTCAAATTCTCCCAAAATATTTTTCTGGCAAGTAGTTATTTGCCTTTTTAACTTGATTTAATGCTACACATGTGGAAAGAGTTATGTATTTTTTCAGAAATGGGTGAGCACTGCCTTTACCATTACGCAAGTATACACTATACACTGGGGCACTATTGATAAATGTAAACCGTATATTACTGGAAAATTGTGGAAATATCAAACTCAGTCTGAAAAATCTCAGAACAAACAAGGAAATGTATGATAACTTGCAGAGAAGGAAATTACAACCTAGAAGCCATTGGAGAGGGCCCCACTCTCCCAAACTACCCAATTCCAGACTTCCCATTCTCCCTCCTCGGGCATCCCTTTCATTCCCTCTTTCCGCAACAAACTGGCTCCACTTTTCTCTTTTTAATTATTCTTTTACCCATTTACCCTTTTATTCCTCCTAGTGTAAACTCTGGAGAAATCTCTGTCTGGATTAATTATTAGAAGGCCTGGGCTCTCATCAACTGTACATTTTCTTAAGCGCTTTACATATGATCAAGGAATCCCTTCTGACATTCCATATTTATATGCTAAAAGGACATGAGACTATTCTTATAGTCGACTTTTATAAATCATGTATTATACTTCTTTTCCCTTCAATGTTGGATAGTTGACTTTTATTGTGTGTCTGTATCTTTTGAATGATCCATGTTGAAATATGCCTTTTAAATAAACTAGACTATGAAAAGTGAAATGCTCAGATATCAGAGGTCATCTCATTTTATAAGTCTTTAGTTATTTATCATGTCAGAGTGGTACATTTCTTCCAGCTTCATTCTTTTTATCATATCACGTGTCATTTTAGTTTGACTGCATTATGAAAACACATTATGCTTTCACCTAATATGTGTGCATGATGCCACTCCAGGGGCACATACATGGAAGATGCTACATACGTTTCATGCGGACATTCATTTGGTGGTCTGATGCTAAGAAGGGTTGTTGAGACAGTAAGGCGGTTGACTTCTCCTCTTGTTTGTGAATCTAAATACATCAATATTTACTTGTTATATCCACAAGTTATATTTTCTTATAAAGCGCGTTTTCAACAAATTGATGAAAAAATGTAACCTGCAGGTTGAGATGATTTCACCTTTTTTGTTGAAATAGATATCCAGTGATATTTTGGTTTTCAAAATTTGTACTACCTCTGTCCCATAATAACTCTTGTTTTGACTTTGTGAGGGATAAAAAAGTGCAAATTGTGTGGCCAAAAGTTGTACAATGGAGAAAGAAACACTATGAACCACATTCTTTGCTATAAAAGAAATCGGAGTTTATTTTGGGAAAGACTAAAATGGAAAGAATGAAGTTTATTTTGGGACGGATGGAGTATGATTTATGGTATATTGTTCCATGGACTCACAATGCATGATACAATGAACCTTTTGTGACAGTCTAGATGCACACTCTGCAATGCAGAAATTGAGCCTGGATCTTTAATCCCTAACTTAGGTATGCTGCACTTCATTTATATTACTCTTTCCCTTGCAAGTTGCAACCTCCTTAATGTCAAGGTGCTTTTGGAACTATTATAATTGATTGCAATTATCTGTTGTGATTATTCTTATTTTTTATGCCTTTTTTTAATGAATAGCTTTAAGAGCAGCAGCAACAGCAGTGAAGTATGAGGATGAGCGGAGATTATTTCATAATGCTTCCCTCAGGAAGCGCAGGAAAGAAGTGGGCGAGTTCAGGGTAAATTTTGATTTACCTGTATTTGCTCAGTCCACACAAAATGAGATCTTGCTTGAAACTATTTACTCAAACATATGGAGACAACAATAGAACAAATATTTCTGTGGTTTCAATCTTAGGATCAAATTTTCATTAATTTTAGTGTTCTTAAAAAGAACATCCAAAAATGTTAAATATGTAAAACGTTATATTTAATGAAACCAATAATTAAGTTTAAAAGTATAACTAAAATTTTGAAGTCATACCTTGCGGAAACATGACATCTTTGTATGGGATGGAGGTAGTAATAAACAAACTATAGCTTCAGTTATGGCTTATGAGCTGACAACTGAAGTGTTGTATTATTTGAGCAAATAGCACTATAGCAATCAATACCAATGTCCTAGTACTGACGATGAGCATGAGGGCTCATGATTAAATGAAACTGATGGATTGTTAGTCATGTGAGGAAGGCCAAGAATTGAAACTTGGAAGTTTAGCGGAACTTGTGAAACTAGAGTTAAGAACTTAAAAAGCTTAGTAGAACATCTTTAAATACCATGGTTAACCTTATTTCTTTGTATACTTTGTAGCATGAATAACCTTATTTGTCTTAGGTTTACATATGAATTGTTACTGAGAAGGTTTCGAGAATAAACTGCATTGTGTAACTTAACATATTAAGGAGTTATTTATTTGTGACTGAATGGACTTAACCGGGACAATGAGTTAATCACTCAACCATTTAGTCATGTTTACTTGTGGTTTAGTTGAAAACATGACTTATACATTCAACCAAGTACTGATTTAATCGTTAAGCTGAGATATTACTCCTTTTCATTAAGATGTATATTCAACAATTTTTGGAACCGATTGTGGAATAGATGTATGTTAACAAGTGATATTACTCATTGACAAGATAACCCAAAATAACCTTAAATTGGCTATTTTACTCAATTCAGTCCGTTTATTTAGCATACAAAATATAGTCTCATAGATAGAGATCACTCAGGCACACAAAATATCTAGACAAACATCTTAACATAGACAATTCAAACAAACTTAATAGAAAAGAAAATAAACAGACAGTAACTATTATGTAGAATTTCTTACCTGTATGAGGTCAACTGAAATAAGCTTCCATTTCCATTTTTTATCAGGGTATGCTTTTTGACATATATGAGATAAATAAAGATAGTTACCATTAGATTCTGTAGTCAAATTTCTGGACAATTTTTTCCAGTCTACCTCGAGATTAAATTCCACAAAGATTCCGAAGAATGCTAAGTTAAAGGAAAGAATGACAAATATATTACTCGTGGGATTTGAAAAGACAAAAGTATGACCACTCTTAATTTTGGACAAAAAAGAGAGTAATTGTTTCTCAATAGACTGAAACACCCCTGCTTTTGATGCCGTCGGTTCTCTATCTCTCAGCCAGCACCAAGGAGTCGAAAACCTTTCTTCAAAGTTTGTCTCCCGCTCAGCTGCACCTCTGGTCCTCCATGGCAACATTCAACCGCAGCAATCAGTCCGCCGCCGCAACTGTTTGATCGCCGAAACCTTCTCTTTCTCCTCAATTTCTGCATCAGCGGCAACAACGATGTTCTCCATGAGTGCCGAGCTTGTAAATTGGTGGTTGTGCAAATCCATTGGCGAAGGTTGGAAGCCGCCGATGATGACTGCAATAGATATGGCGCAGACGGTTGCAACAGATCTGGAGTCGATGAATTTGAGGGCTAGGCCATAAAAGACGGTGACTTTGGGGCTTCTCCAGTGTTGACCTTGAGGGATGTGAGCAACGGCGACGAGTTGGAGAGGAGGGAATGTGGGGCTGGGGCGAGGCAGTTTGGGTACGTAGGGGCTGGTGATGATTTGCGGAGCAGGAAATGGGGGGCTGTTGGGGACAACCGCGAGTAGCAGAAGACAGGTTGGTGACGGGCAGCGCTGGTGGGATTGGGGCAATGCAGGGGTAGGGCAGGGAGGTGGTCGCGTAGTTGGAGGCTGGGGCGAGGTAGGTGTTGGGTGAGGCAGGCCATGCCAACTAGTCGAGTGCGGGGCAGCAGTAGGGGTGGTCGGATGCGGTTGTCGGCAGTGGTGACCGGCAGTGGTCACTATCGGCCTGAATAACGTTAACTAGTCGAGTCGGGTAGCGGTATCTGGTCAGGTCGTGTAACTGTAATTGTTCGGGTCGAGTAACTGTAACTTTTGGGTCGGGTAAATGTAACTGGTCGGGTCGAGTAACTGTAACTGGGTCGATTCTAGTAATTGTAACTGGTCAGATCGGGTAATTATGACTGGTCAGATCAGATTGAATAACTATAACTGGACAAGGCAGGTCACTGGGCGGGTTAGGTCACTGGGCTGGTTAGGTCACCGGGGTGAGTTATGTCACTATCAGCTAAAGTCATTAAGGGTAATTTAGTAAGTTTAAAGCTTATAGTCACATTTTTGAAATTTCTAGAAAAGGTGTTTTTTTGTCCAAGAGCTTCATTTTAGTAATATTAGTGTACAAACCCCAAGTTAAAGTCACTCAAATTTCATTATGGAAAGAGTCGAAGAGCATGCCATTTGCTACATTTGATAGAAATTTGGTGCTTATGATCAGACTAATGAAAGAATATACCAATTACTAGAGTGAACTAATAGCTTTGTTTTCATGGGGATAAAAATGGGAGATATAGCAAAATGCATCCTTTCCGCTTTCTATCATTCAGATAAGCCCTTATTATACTGACTTAGTGACTTCCTTAGAAATATCAGTTCTAGTTTTTCTACATCAGTCATTTACTCCAACAATGAGTGTTGAGTGTGAATGGCATATTTCTATCGCAAAGATGATTGTGCATAATGGAAAAATGTGTTTGTGATAACAAATAAATTTTCTTTCGCAGCCATTCTAAATAGAGATATGAAAACAGGAGCAAAGCTGGTTTTTTAAATATCTTTAAACTGTATGGAGTAGTCATTTACACCACATTGTGGTCTCACTCATCCTAAAGAATATGGAGTACTCTTTATTATTCAAATTGTGACTAGGATCACAGTGAAATTGAGAGGTTACTATATAATTTAAAAGTAATTTGATATTAATGAGTAAAACTGTGAATACCTGTGCTTATAATTTTCCACTTCACAGGAAAATGGGGAACTTCTTTCTGAAACTAGTCCATTCAAAGCTATTCAGTATCCATTCTCGGTGAATGAGAAAGTTACGATTAAGGTAAGAGCTTTTTGGTTTACATTCTTTGCAGTGGTAATATTTCATGTCGTAGGAAAATGTTTTATGCAAATTCATTTGGGGTTCAAATGGATAATTCTAAACATTATATGATCAAATTTACAATAAAATTGACACTAGATATTTTGGCCAAATAAAGATGAATCCTTTAAAGTTTAGAAATTTTAGTCTCTATATTAGCTATAAAATGTGAATTAAGTTTCCAATGACATAAAAAGGGCTCAAATAGATAATTCTGAACTTAGATATGATCACATGTACTACTACCTCCATCCCTTAAAACTTTGCCTCGTTTCCTTTTTTGGTTGTCCCAAAAACTTTACCACTTTCCTTTTTAGTCAATCAATTTGTAGTTCCTATCATTTCTCTCTCCTCATCACAAATCTCAACCCCAAAATTTTTTACTTTATTATTTCCCGGGCCAGTCAAACTTGGCAAAGTTTTGAGGGACGGAGGGAGTACTATATGTCATTTCGAATCACAATGTTGAGTTTACATATGTTGGTTGCAGGGAAATAGGAGGACGCCGGATAAATTTGTGGGGAAAGAAGCAATAATCACTTCACAGTGTCTTAATGGATGGTTAGTTTATCTAATAATAACTAAGAGCATCTCCAATAGGTTCTGTTAAAACTTTATTTCTTTCATGTTATCTTGTAAAGAGTTAAAATTGTTGGTCTGCAATGGCCGCTTTGCTTTAAAAAAATACTTAAATCATATTTTCTATAATTTAAACTTTTAAAGACTTAACATCATTTTTATCTGTAATGGTGGCCTCTTTAAACTAAAATTTGAAAAACACATAGTGGTATTTGTCTCTCCAAATGACCAATTGTATAAACTCGAGCTACTGTCTATGTGAAGTTTTCAATCCATATTTATAGAAATATGGTACCACTTTCTGTACCATTTCTAAAAATGAATGACCGTTATTGATTGAAAGCTATTTAAATAGAGGTTTCAAAAGCTAATAAGATTTTCTCTCTACTCTATGAAGATAGCTGATTTACGTCTCCTTTCTTCTTCTGGCATACAGTACCAATTCGTCCAATTTTTGAGTAATCTTACATTCCCTTACATGTAGTGATCATATTACCTGTGGGACGATTGGTTCACGGAAGGAAAAGATAACCTTGGTCCTTGGGTAATATGGTTGCCTCTTGGAAGGTAATGTTAGATGTAAGATTGCATTAAACTAATCGGATCACGGAATGTGATTGATTACTTGTGGGGAAATTGCCCTAAATAGGGGTAAAAAGATTCTGGAGTTCCAAAATAGGACTACTATGTTTTTCTTCATGAAATAGGAGTCGTTCTTGCCATGATTGAAAAATACTAGTAAGTATTGTCATATTAATACCTAGTATTGCAACTATTTTGGCACTAATGATTCCAAGATGGCATTAACTATTGCCATGTTATTCCTATTTCAGGAAGAAAAACATAGCAATCTATTTTAGAATTCTAAAGCCTGTTTACTCCTATTTCGATAATTTTTCCTTACTTGTCTGATTAAATTGTTAGTTATAAGGAGTTGGATAATCTATAAATCTACAAAGTTACCATGCCAATCTTACAATACCTAAAAAAAATTGTAGTCTTGGATTACGTGGTAATATGAAAACCTGAATGAAAAAGGTAACATCACATTACCAAAGATTCATTTCATTATTTTTTGGCTTGAGAATATGATGGAATAAAGCAAAATGGCTCACTAAACTGTCTGCGCTTCTTTGTTATGAAGCAGCAGTCAGTCCATGCAATTTTGGACGCGATTTTCACTATGGATCATCCGGAAACAGTCTCTCTGTGCTTTAGTACAGGGGTAAGACTGCGTACATCCGACCCCCTTACCCCACCGTAGGTGGGAGCCTTTGCGGCACTGGGGTAAATGAAAATGATGAAATGAACAAGAATCAAACGCTCCTTAGGTGGTAATCTCATGATCCATGAACCAAACACTCCCTAAGCTAATAGACCTGAACCTTGTTTTTTTCAGGTACTTGCTTAAGATTATTGACAGTGGTGAGAATGTTCGCCTTCAATACCGCTCTCTCCAGAAATTTCAATCTTCTCAATCTTCTCAGGAAACTACTGGTGGGGGCGAGAGATGCCATTCCCAGCCACTTAACAGTAGCAGCTGATGGTGGATGGTCAGTTACTTCGTGCAAACTACCTTTTGATGCATGCATATTGCAATCTTAATGTAGCTCAAAGTTTATCCTGTAAATTAGACTAAGTTCTAAAATTAGTACGAATGTAGAGAGTACAATCTTTTGCATATAAGATGTCTCTAAAAGATCATCATGAGAGACAGGTAAAGAAGGGAATAGTTATAAATTGAACGTTACTCATAGATTTAAAAATTGAGTTACTCTATTTGTTTGAATAGTTCTTATAAATTGATTGAAGTTACTCTTAGATTTTAAAAATGAGTTGCATGCTTTTTGAAAATAATCTTGTGGTCATTATTTCGAAATGTTAATTACTTGATTAAATTACAGATTTGGGGCTGCTTTCCTTTATTGGTGGGCTCACTCGTGGAAAATTGGAGGGAGGGGGTGTTAGAGTAACAGGTAAATAGTGGTGTCCACAGGAGAGAGGACGGCTCAAGGTTGATGTGGATACAGCCGTCCATAAAGAAGATGGGAAAATCGGGCATGGTTGGGTAGTGAGAGACGGTGAAGGCGCCTTTGTGGCATGCACAGAGAGCCCTTCAATGGGTAGTTTCAGTCCAAGAGAAAAGGAAGTGTTGGGGCTCCTGGAAGCACTTACATGGGTCAAATGCAAGGGTGGGAAGATTTTGACATCAAATGTAATTCTTTGCAAGTGGTAGCTGGTGTTCATGGTGGGGCTGGATCTTTTGCTTTTGGTGTGATCGACTGATCATTAAAGACTGGAGTTTATTGTTTTAAAATTTTAATAGTATAAATATTTTTCATATCAACAGGTCAGCGAGTTGTGTTCTTTATATTAGTCTTGAGTATGATTTTATATTCCACCTAATTATATTTTCCATCATTTCCAGTGGAGCCAAAGACACACTTTTTTGGGCTTGGGAATATGATGGAATATGACTAGCTAAATTGTCACCACTTCTTTGTTATGAAGTACTAGACTAGTAGTTACTCAATGCAACTTTTATGCGATTTTCATCGTGGGTCATCTGATGCTTTAGTATAGGCCTAGGGTAGGGTTGCACACATCCAATCCCCCTTATCCCCACAGTAGATGCGAGCCTTTCCGGTACACGTATAATGTCGTCGTTATTGTTATTGTTGTATTTTGATTAATTATGTCATTGTTTGATTAATCATAATTAGTTGTTTCCTTGTCATGAAAAGTCATATCTATTATTGAGAAGAAGCTGGCTGCATTCTTTTGGGGGGCGGTCTCTCACCAAAGGTAGGTTTCATTGGAAATCTATCTGATTACGCAGTTACGCTTCAATGGGTAAGTTTGTGGTTGAACTGAAAGGAAAATAGATCACTTTGGGCACTACTGATACAATAGAGGTGAAGATGTGAAGTTAGTCTAGACTACCATACTCCCCTACTTGGAAAGTTGGAAGAGAATTTGTGGTATCCATAAATCATATCCAGTGCCATGAATTCTAAGATGATGAGTGATGGCTCCCCTATCAAATAATGGTAGTTTTACGCTTGCATCAGCATATGAAGATTTGCAAGACTCTAGGATTTGCCTTTTCCTTTTCGAAAGCTTGGCATAAGTGACAAGTTGTCATTTATTTATTCTTGTGGAAATTACTACAAAACATTCAATTGTTTTCCAAGAATCATAGTAGGTTTTAGACCTCGTATGAGTCGTATCTGTCCACATGCCCATTCAATTGTTGATTATTGCTTATACTCCTGTAAGATAGTGGTCGGGATTGGCACTCTTTCGTGAGTATATTTTTCATTCTCTGTCCCACGTTTATATATTGCTTAAATTAAATGCTTATTAATTGGTGGTTTCTGTTGGGGTAAATCACGTAGGGGTGATAATTTGAGTACTTGGATTGCTTAAGGATCGTGTAAGTTCACTTTCCGAATTGATATTTCTCCCCTATGCCTGGGTTACAAGAAATTCAATCTAGGATAATTCTTAAGGACACTCTAGAACTTAGGCACAAGAACTAGAGCCAAACTAGTCGAGTATATGGATTGTTATCTTTAATTTGAGTGCCAAAGTGATGAAGATATGTTGGATATGTTTCCTCCTTCTCCTCTGTACGAAATATGGTGGTATCTATCCATATTCATCGTTCTAGGCAGTAGTAACACGATTAAGAATAACCGCAGCAGTTTTTGGGAAACTGCTGGAAACTGCCTAACCGTTCTAGAACTCGGTCTAGAACCACAGAGCTGGTCTACTGAAAGTTATACCTCGAGTTCTACCTTGAGTTCCACTAATGTAGACACTTTGGAACTAAACTAGTTCTTATATACAAGTGTGCACTCCACACCTACTAACTTGTATTAGATCATAGTTCTAATTCCCATTGGCACTCATGTCATTTCCAATTACACAAAATGGCCGGTGACACTAAAATCACCAACAATCCTCCCCCATTTTAGTGTAACCCATGAAATGACATAACAAAGCTTACAAACCAAAACTTGCACATAAATGGAAATGTCGATACGATTGAATTTCCATCTTAGTATTTTACACATTCAAAATATTCGAGAATCAGGGTGTCCTACGGATTGAACCCTTCAACCCATTTGAATACCTCAAGATAAAATACATACACGTTTCAATACTCAACTAGAATACAAACTTGACACAATTATAAAGCCGTGTGTCCTAATCCCATTCATGACCGTATAAAAGCCAAGTCCCAAGCATTTTGAAGTGCGGCTACACTTCACGATCATATAGGTAATTCCTTTAGTCGTGTACCTGCTTACACTTTATCAAAGGAATTATTAAGAAATAAATTCAGCCTCCCTACTACAGGTCCGAACACACACCTTGGGATGATTTTCATTGTGTGTTCCAATCCATTAAGTGTGAGCTTTCCGCATTGAATTCAGCCTCTAACGTTGTATTAGAGGGGAATTGGGTGTCTCACCATTAAGGATTAAATGGACTTTAAACCCATCCCTATAACAGACTTGTGCACTAAGTCCCGGACCAAACTTTTGGTCAAGTGGTCCGCCAAGTTATGTTGCGATCTTACAAATTCCACCGAAATTACACCATTCATGATTAGTTCTCTAATCATACTATGTCTAACACCTAAGTGTCTAGACTTGCCATTATAAACATGACTATATGCCTTAGCCAAAGTGGCAGCACTATCACAATGGATAGAAATAGGTGCAATCGGCTTCCCCCATAATGGAATCTCAAAAATTAAATTTCTTAACCACTTCGCCTCTTTACCGGCGGTAGCCAACGCAACAAATTCAGATTCCATCGTTGAACTTGTGATACAAGTTTGCTTCTTGGATGCCCAAGAAATGGCACCTCCCCCAAGCAAGAATACCCAACCACTTGTAGAAGAATGATCCTCTACATTGGATATCCAACTTGCATCTGAATATCCCTCTAAAACCGAAGGATACTCAAAGTAACACAAACCATAATCCATGGTTCCCTTTAAATACTTGAACACTCTCTTCATTGCTTGCCAATGTTGAGTACTAGGATTACTAGTAAACCGGCTCAACCTACCCACGGCAAAAGCAATATCCGGCCGAGTGCTTGTCATGGCATACATTAAACTACCAATAGCTTGAGAGTACTCAAGTTGTGATACCGCCTTTCCTTTATTAGGCATCAACTTCACACTAGGATCCATGGGAGTACCAACGGGTGAACAATCACTATAATTAAACCTTTTGAGAATATTCTCAACATAGTGAGCTTGTGTCAAAGCAATCCCTTTGTTTACCCGTTTAATCCTTATACCAAGGATCACATCTGCCTCCCCCATGTCCTTCATGGAAAACCTTGATGATAACAACCTTTTGGTTTCATCAACCTGATTTTGGTCCGTTCCAAAAATCAGCATGTCATCAACATAGAGACATATGATCACACCCGCTCCGAATGCATCAAATCGGCTATAGACACACTTGTCCGATTGGTTTAAACTAAAACCATTGGACAAAATAACTTCATCAAACTTTTGATGCCATTGTTTGGGTGCTTGTTTCAGCCCATACAATGATTTAACAAGTTTACAAACCTTATGCTCATGTCCCGGCATAACAAAACCTTCCGGTTGTTTCATGTAAACTTCCTCATCAAGATCACCATTTAAAAATGCCGTCTTGACATCCATCTGATGTATAATTAGATTGTGTATAGCCGCCAAAGCAATTAACAACCTAATGGTTGTAATTCGAGCAACCGGCGCATACGTGTCACAATAGTCAATTCCGGGTTTTTGTCTAAAACCTTGAATGACCAACCGAGCCTTGAACCTGTCAACAGTTCCATCCACTTTCATCTTCTTTTGAAGATCCATTTGCAACCTAAGGGTTTAGAACCCGGTGGCAAATCCGACAACACCCAAGTGTTGTTCTCCATAATTGATGACATTTCATCATCAATTGCCTCCTTCCAAAAGGCAACATCTCGGGATTCCATTGCCTCTTTAAAGGTCTTTGGATCATCCTCAACTTGGTAACAATATGAATATTGTACCCCCGTTTCATCCCTTGAACCTTCCACTAAATACAAGTGAAAATCGGGACCAAAGTCTTTCACGATGCGGCCTCGTTTGCTTTTCCTTATTTGTGGTGTTTCGGGATTCAAAACACCATCCAAACATTCTGGAACTTGCACCTCACTAGTGCCTGGAACTAGGTCCTTTGGTCTTTGAATTGATGAAAATCTCATCTCATCAAAGATCACATCCCGAGACTCAATCACGGTGTTAACCGCTACCGCATCATTAGGTTCTATTACATAAAACCTATAAGCCTTGGAATGTTCAGCATACCCTATGAATATGCAATCAATTCCTCTTTTCCCCAAAGTTTTCCTTTTGGGCTCGGGCAATTTTACAACCGCCCTACAACCCCAAACCCGAAAATATTTCAAATTCGGCGCTTTCTTGTACCAAAGCTCATATGGGGTTGTCTTGTTCCTTTTATTTGGAACCCTATTTAGAACATAGCAGGCCGTGAGCATGGCCTCTCCCCAAAACCCTTCACTCAAACCCGAGTAGGAAAGCATGGAATTAACCATTTCCTTTAACACTCGATTTTTCCGTTCGGCCACACCATTTTGTTGTGGTGTATACGGAGCCGTGGTCTCATGAATGATTCCAACAGATTGAAAATAATGGGGATCCATATATTCTCCTCCCCGATCAGTCCTAAGACATTTAATTGGATTACCCAATTGCAATTCAACCTCGGTTTTATACACTTTAAATTTCTCTAAAGCTTCATCCTTGGTGTGTAATAAATACACATAACAAAACCGAGTCGAATCATCAATAAAAGTAACAACATACTTTTTATTGCCAAGGGAAGGAGTTGAGTGAAAGTCACATAGATCACTATGTACAAGATCCAAAATAGCCGAATTCCTTTCAACATTAGGAAACGGTTGTTTTGTGATCTTAGTAAGCATGCAAGTCCTACACTTATCATTATTAATACCAAAAGCAGGAATTAAACCATCTTTAGACATTTCATGCATTTTTCTAAAATTAATGTGAGCTAGTCTAGCATGCCAAATCATACAATCATTCATGGAAGATGCCACAAAAACAGAATTATCACTAGGAATTAATTTATTCACAACATTTAAACGAAACATGCGATTTGATAAATATCCAAAACCAACAAACACACCACCCTTGGACAGAATATATTTATCGGATTCAATCACTTGTTTGAACCCTAAATTATTCAACATACTTCCCGAAACAAGATTCTTTCGAACCTTCGGTACATACAAAACATCAAACAACGTAATTGTTTTCCCAGAAGTAAATTCTAAAACAACTACACCCTTTCCCAAGATAGGCACCATTGACTCGTCTCCCATGCGTAATAAGGAACCGACCTCCACTGGTTCTAGGTTTTCAAACCATCCTTTATCCTTACACACATGGCTCGTAGCCCCCGAGTCAATCCACCATGCACAATCATCATCCTGTAC